CATACATACACACACACAAACACACACACACAAACACACACACACCATACACACACACAAACACACACACACACAAACACACACACACATACATACACAGACACAAACACACAAACACATACATACACACACACACCATACACACAAACACACACATACATACACACACACAAACACACACATACATACACACACACAAACACACACACAAACACACACACACACAAACACACACACATACACACACATACACACACACCATACACACACACAAACACACACACATACATACACACACACAAACACACACACACAAACACACACACAAACACACACACATACATACACACACACAAACACACACACAAACACACACACATACATACACACACAAACTCACACACACAAACACACACAAACACACACATACAAACATACATACACACACACACCATACACACACACAAACACACAAACACACACATACATACACACACAAACACACACAAACACACACACACTCACACACACACAAACACACACACACAAACATACATACACACACATACATACACACACATACATACATACACACACACAAACACACACACACAAACATACACACACAAACATACATACACACACTCACACACACATACACACACACATACCACACACACACACCATACACACACACACAAACACACACACACCATACACACATACATACACACACACAAACACACACACACCATACACACATACATACACACACACCATACACACACACACCATACACACACACCATACACACACACACACCATACACACACACACAAACACACACACACAAACACACACACACATACACACACACAAACACACACACACAAACACACACACACACACACCAGCAGGGACACCACCCTCACCAGCAGTGACACTGACCCTCAGCACTGCTTCTGAAAACTGAGAAGGGGTGGCACATCTCAAGCCACTCTAGGCAAGTGTCACCCTTGCACCATCCTCACAGACAAGCATGTAGACCACCACCTCTGTGACACAAATGAAAAGTTCTTGGCAACAGATTTCAGCAGCATAGAAACAGGCAGGAGCTGTGGACCTTTAATTTGTCATGCAACTTTCGTGCTTATGGTCCCAACTTGTGGTGCTGTTAGGTGACGGTAGGACCTTTAAGAAGTGGAAATAAGTCAGGTGTGCCCTTAAAGGGGACCCTGGGACTCTGGCCCTCCTCCCTTTGCTTCCCAGCCACTCAGAGGTAGCAGATTCCTGTCATACTCCCCACCAAATAATGTGATGACTGTGGAAATGGCCTGATAGTACCTCAAAAGTCACAGCGTTCCTATGTGACCCAAGAAGCCCAACTCTAGATTTGTCCCCAGGAGCAACGAGAGTGATCCCACATAAGACAAGAATGTTGACAGCAGCATCATTTACAAGCCCAAAGTTGAGGCAGCCTAAGTGTCCCTCAGTTGCTGACCAGAGAGTCAATACAATGTAAATAGTGTGTGAACACAACAGGAGTTTATTCAGCTTTGACCAGGGATGCAACTGCAACACATGCTACAACATGAATGAAACCGTGAGGACATATGCTGAGCAATTAGCCATGAAAGGCTGGATACAAAGATCTACCTATGTAAAACGTACAAAACAGATCACCCAACAGGCACTCGTGGAGATTTGCTGTAAGTGATGAGGCAGGGTCAGGAGGATTGTGAAAGGACCCAGGACTTCTTGTGCAGTGATCAAACTATCCTAAAACTGACTGCAGTCCATGACGATAATGACAACCATTGAGTTGTGCATACCCATTAATTGTACCAGCAGCCACTGGGCTGTACAAACCTGTGACCATACCAGTAATCATCAAGATGTAAACATCGGGAACTATGGTAGTTACCATGGAGATATGTACACTCATGCCTTTACCAGTCACCATGGGCAGAGCAAGCCTGTGACCATACCAACAGCCATCAAGCTCTACATATCTGGGTTCACACCGGTTACCATGGACGGTGCACATTCATGACTGCATCAGCAACCACAAAGCTATGCAGTCTTGGTTAGACCAACAACTATCAGGCCGCCCAAACCAGTGACTGTGCCAACAATGGATCTGCACTTCTGTCACTCTAGCAACAACCACTGGGCTATGAAAACCACTGTATTAGCAACCACTAGCTGTACACACTCAAGACTATACTAACAGTCATTGGGACATGCCATTCCTTGGCTATACCAACAGCTATTGGGTTGTGCAAACTCTTGATTCTACCAACAATAATCAGGTTTTGAAAAACCTATGCCTATATCAATAACCAGGGAGCCATGCAAACTCAAGACTATATCAACAACTATGGAGCGATGCAAATCCATAACTATCTCAATAACTATCGGGACACAAACCTGCACATGTAACAACCACTGGGCAGTGCAAACCTGTGACTATACCAACAACCACTGGGCCATGCAACACATGGTGATACCAATAACCATCATGTCATACAAAACATGACTATGTCAATAACCGTCAGGTTGTACAAACTTACGATTGTTCCATCAATCATTGAGGCACACAGCCCCATGACTATCTCGCTCACCATCAGGCTACACAGTCCCCTTGGCTATTCAGCAACCATCATCTGTGCAAACCGATGCATATATAAACAACCACGCCACTGGGTGGTGCAAACCTGTGACAGCAGCAACAACCATCAGGCTGAGACGATGTACAGACAGCCTGCTCACTACCAGGATGGGGTGAGGATGTGGGCAAGGCAGGCCCTCCAGACCCCAGGCTCCTGTAAACTTTACACGCAGCTCTCTGTGACCCAGATCAGCACAGTGCTCTGTGGGTACTGACTCTGGGGACATCAATAAAGAAAATTCAGAAGAAAAACCACCCTTATGAGAAGAAAAACTGCCACTGACCTTAGGTGGAAGGTTGGGAACTCTCAAGGTGACGACAATGGAGAATTCTTCAGGGAAGAGGTCACAGCTGGAGAAGATTCTAGAGGCTGGAAAGCTCATGGTACGAGGCTCAGTGGCAGAGAACTGGAGGCCCAGCACACCCTCGGCCTGAACCATCCGGATTCCACTTGTAGCACCATTCAAAGGGACCACCTCTGCCAGGATATCCAGGGGACGAAGGTCTGTGGCGAAGACACGATAGGGGTAGGAGTTAGGTAATGGTTGTCCGACATGGCAGCCATGATGGCTTATTTGCCGTGTCTTCGTATTTTCAGATTTTACATCATGAAAGCTGTCAGCGCCATGCTATAGCCAGGGTGTCAAGTTATGGATGCCAAACTGAGTAAACAGTGAATCTGGGATAGCGTACTGGAGCAGTCCTGCCGCATGGCTGACCAATGGCAAGAAGCGGTCCCAACAGGTAGTGCTGGGGCTGTAGCTTAGCACAGAGGAGCCCACTGCCTCATACAAAAAGCATCTCCGAGGACGTCTGCCCTGCAACCTTTAACTGATGCTGTGCTTGCTACTGTGTCCAGGGTCGGGAAGTGTTTTGAAATGCCCCCACATAACTCTCACTTTGACTTTGAAAATGTCCCCTGTCTTAGCCTTCTTGAGCTTGCCCACAGTTTACCATGGCTGTGTTCCCACTGCACCCTGTTGCTGCTCTCAGACATAGCTTAGCAGACTGTACAGCAGTTGGGCAGATAGGCTGAAGACAGAGCCCACAGAACCATGGTAACCAGACAAGGGATAGGGCTCTAGGGGAGTGGAAATGATGGATGGATGGGTGGATGGGTGGATGGGTGGATGGATGGATGGATGGATGGATGGATGGATGGATGGTTATATAATACCAGCTGTTGGAAGTTTTCAAGAAACTCCTGGCACCTGTTAGCAACAGAGAGGAAATTGTGGTTTGACCAGCAGAGGCTTATCTACATGGTTCCCACAGACCACACTGTATACTGGGATGTAGCCCCAAACAAGCCCCCATTTGACCGAGAGAAATGCAGGTGGCCCAGGACTGGTATTTTACAAGGCAAGCAAGCCCTCTTCTGCAGAGTCCAGGTCACAGGAAGGAAGGGTTGAAGACAGAGAGGCTATTCTCAAGCCGTGTGACACTGGTGCTAGATGCCAGTAGAGCCAGTGCTGGGGGAATATCATCTGGATTAGGTGACAAGCTTGGGTACACAGTTCTGCTCCTAAGCAGGAGTTCCAGATGGCCTGAGATGTGCCCCTCACGACATGCTGGGTATGAGGTCGTGAACCTGCTCATGTGGCTGTAATGGAAAGTATGGTCATTGTAGATGACCAAGTTTTGGCAGGTCACTAGGTGGGCTACAATCCAACTCATAGGTATAAAAAGGGATAATTTGGATTCAACTCACAGGAATAAAGCAGATGTCAGGGACAAGCTAGAAAGCCAACAATGCCTCAGGAGCTGGGTGGCCTGGACAGTACCCTTGGCTCAGGTTAACCAGCACTGATGCAGACTTCAGTCTCCATGGTGAGTGGTGGCATCACGGTTAGCCATTCACTTGGTGTATTTGGCTGCACAGCTTGAGGAAATTAACACATCCCCAGAGGGAAATCACAGAGTTTCTCTACCCGAAAGTCCATGGGCCACCACTAACCAGCACAGAAGTGCAGAGTCCTGTCCTAGCCCATGAGACCCAGGACCAGGAGTAGTCAATTACTATCTGTCCCTCTGTCACCATGAGTACTTCAGATAGATCCTGCTGGTAAGGCAAACAACCCAGGAGAAAGTCCATGTGATCCACACGAAACACTGCTTGTTGTGAGACTAGAGAGGTGAGGTACCAGCTAACACGAGGAGCAATGCAGGAAACAGAAGCAGGAACAAAACCAACAGCAACCAGGAAGCAGTGGTCACGGGCTGGGCCTGTACCTCTAGGGAGGAGTATAAAGCCAGCATACCCCGCTCCTGACACACACACTTACACATTCACTCAACACTCAACCACCCTCCTCCAGCCAACCCCGCCATGGCCGCTTCCACCATGTCTGTCTGTTCTGACGCTTGCACCAACTCCTCCTGGCAGGTAGATGACTGCCCAGAGAGCTGCTGTGAGCCCAGCTGCTGCCAGCCCAGCTGCTGTGTCCCCAGCTGCTGCCAGCCCAGCTGCTGTGCCCCAGCCCCATGCCTGACCCTCATCTGCACCCCAGTGAGCTGTGTGTCCAGCCCCTGCTGCCAATCTTCCTGCACACCCTCATGCTGCCAGCAGTCTAGCTGCCAGCCCTCATGCTGCACCTCCTCACCCTGTTCTGTGACTCTTTGCTGCAAGCCTGTCTGCTGCACACCCATTTGCTCTGGGTCCTCATGCTGCCAGCAGTCTAGCTGCCAGCCCTCATGTTGCCAGCCATCCTGCTGTGTGCCTGTGTGCTGCAAGCCTGTCTGCTGCAAGCCCTGCTCCAGCGTGTCCCTGCTCTGCCGCCCTGTGTGCAGACCCGCCTGCTGTGTGCCCACCTCCTCCTGCTGTGCCTCCTCCTGCCAGCCCAGCTGCTGCAAGCCCTGCTCCAGCGTGTCCCTGCTCTGCCGCCCTGCCTGCTCCAGCCAGGCCTGCTATGGCCTCTCCTCAGCCCAGAAGTGCAGCTGCTGATGGGTCTGTTCCTGGTGCCAGCTGACTCAGGTCCCTCCCTGTGGTCCCTCTCAGCCTCTCCAGTCTGCTCCTGACCTGGGATAGACAGTCCCCCAGGATGCAGCCTCCAACCTGTCCTTTGTGACTCGACCTCTCCTCCTGCTTCCCAGGAGGCCTGATGATCCTCAGGGTCACTGTCCCTGTCCCTGTCCCTCTGTTCTGGTTACCTGACCCTGATACAGCTTGTCAGCTGCCCATGGCTTCAATAAACTCTTCTAACCACCTGCATTTGGAATATGTGGTTCAAGAAAATGTCCCTCTCCATAGCCAGGAATGTTTCCAGGAGGGAAGAACTCAGCTTAGCAATTGACAAGGGATAGTAGCCACCTCCCCTGGGGGTGTCGCAGTGTGACTCAGGGCTCTTTCCCCCAAAGTTCAGCTCCTCTGACCCCTATGGGTGGCTGTTCACCCATAGGTATGACCCTATAGGCCATCACCACCAACTGTTTCTCTATTTTTCTAGAATCACACAAGAAAAGCCATACTCCTGGATCCGGGCACTGTGGCCCCTGGCCTAGGCTGCCTTGTGAGTCCTGCCTGTGCATACATAGAGAGGGACACAAGAGATACTCATCTGGAAGAAAATTCATTGTAGGGATGAGGCAGGATACAGAGGACTAGGCACTGCCCAGTACCCTCTACTGGGACATTGGGACACAGGGACACAAAGTCCTCTCAACATAGGCTGCATTATGCCTCACTCACAAAGGGCTATGAATTATCAGTCCTCTCTGATGTGGGGAAGGCATGGCTGCACTTGGTGCCCAGGTGAGTGAACATGTTGAGACCTGGAAACTTCCAGCAGAGCCACACTGAGGGCCTGTGGCAGAGGTCAGGGGTGTCATGGCCCGCCGACCATTATATTTGTATTATTAAAGTAAACTTCTGGGGGTCGAACACATTAACATAAACACTGCAAACCTTCTCTCCACGGGTGTCCCAGCTTTTCGTTTTCTTTAGTGGTGAGCCTAATCCTTAATGTCAGCGAAGCCCTCTTTATCCTTTAACTCAGAACCACACAGACTCATTCTAGGCTCCTCATGAGGCTTGACTGTGCGATGTCCCCTGGGGCTTGTATGTTTGAACACTTGGTCCCTGGCTGGTAGTGCTGTTTTGGGGGATTGTGGCCCGTTTGGGAGAGGGCCACAGGTATAGCTGTTTAAAGATTCCGGTCCCTCCGCTCCCAGCCCAGGCTCTCGGCTTCCGGGTTGGCCTACATGAGGGGCAGCGCGGCATTTCCACCAGCCACGACTTCCTCACCCTTGAGCAGTGGGCCAGGATAAGCCTGGCTTCCCTCAAGTTCCCCTTCCTCACCCCATTTCCTCACAGTAAGGAACATGACTAGAGCCCTCCTGTTTCATTTGGTAGCATTTTGAGTCGATTTTTGATATCCTGAGTTGCTCCAACTCCCTGTGGATACTGAGCCTCCTCAACCAGTCTGAGCACTGTGGGATTGTTCTGGATTCCAGTCCTATTTTTCTGTGGTTTACTGTTACACCTCACACAGCAGTTCTGCAGTCTTGGAGTCAAATAATGGAAGTTCTCTGATTTTTCTTTGCCTTCTTCAGGTTTGGTTGACCACTCTGGGTCATCTATGCATCCCAGGGATTTTGGAAGCACCCCATCAAATTTGACAGCAAAGCCTGCTGGGATTTTGACTGAGATTTCATTAAACTCATAGATCATCTAGGGAAGATCAGACATTTAACATTGTGTCTTTGGGTCCATGAACATGGTATACCCCCCCCCCAGTCACTCATCTGGGATTTCTTTCATCTCTTTCAGAATTACTTTATCGCCTTTAGATCTTACACATATTTTAGTTAATCTGTTACTTCCTTTTTTAAATGTTGTCATTGATGGTTTATTTATCTTTAACCCCTGTTGGTGGTTTTGTTGTTGTTGTTGTTGTTGATTTGTTTTGTTTTGTTTTGTTGAGACAGGGTCTCACCATACATCCCTGGCTAGCCTGGAAGTGACTATATAGACCAGGCTGGCCTTGAAATCATACAGATCCACCTGCCTGTGTCCTGATGGTGGGACTAAAGGCATATACCACTACACCCCATTATCTCTTACACTTGACTGCAATTATCTAGAAATATAGTTTATCTCATGAAGTGAGGAATGTGTGTGTGTGTGTGTGTTTGTTGTGTCTCATTCTCTTGTGTTCTCACACACGGGGAGACTGGTGCCATTTCTCCCACAAAGGAGACTTCTTGGAATCAGTGTTTTCCTTGCAATGTGTTTTTAGTTAAGGCTTCAATCCCTTTGCCTGCTCCAGGGCTGCTCTGATGTTTTGTTTTCCTCTTGTTAGTTATGCAGTCTGTCTTTCCAGTGGCTTGGTTGCTTCCTCTACACTGCTAGGTGTGTCCACACGAGGCCATTGCCTTCTGCGTTGTTCTGTTGGTGTCCACAGACTCCGGGGTAAACACTCTTTCCATTCCTAGTATGGGTCATTCACTTCTTCCTTTTTCTTGACCAGTAAAGCTCACTAGAAATGTCCATTTTGTCATCCCCAAATGCAAGACCCTGGTCTTGGCTGTTTTAGCCTGGAGCTGTCTGACCCCACTGCTCATGGCCTTCATGTAGCTGGTTATTTGGGGCTTCACCTGTACCTCATCTCTAGCTCCGAGTTAAAGCACAGATTCGCAGCCTCCCTCGCGTACCAAGAAGAATCACAGAGCATCACTCTCTACATGTTGCCGTAGCTTGATCTCAGACGTGGGATTTCATTTTCATTTTGCTCAGAATACATCCTGATTCCCATGGTGATTTTATCTTTGGTCGGTGGGCTGCTCTTACACTCTTTCTTTGGTTTCCCCACGCTTGCAGTCTCCCAGCTCTCCCAAGGTGACTCCTTGTTCTGCCGAGATCTGGACACAGTCTGATTTTGGTCCTCGAGATGTGCTGTGGCTCACGGTGCTGAGGAGGTGGCTTATTTTGGTGTGTGTTCATGGATGATTAAATAAAGCTTTCCACCATTGTTGGATGGAACATTGCTTAGATGTCAGTGGACAGGTGGGTGTCTGGAACTGCTTCAAGTTTTCTGTGTTCTCATCGGTGTTATTTCAGATTTGGAAAACTGTCTGGCACTTTCTCTTTTCTCAGCTTCCTGGTCCAGTCTTTCCCCTTACACTAAGGTTTTACATGTGTCAGGCTGCTCAGTGCTGTGCGCATGACTCCAGCTCCCTGGGCCTCTTGAGATACCCCGGTGTCCCTCTCCTTGGAGAGCTTCACATGCAGGTTATTTTCTTCCACGTTGTCTCGTCTTTGATAATTTTGGGTTTTTTCTTGCTGCTCTTCTGTTTTTTAGCTTTTGGTATATGTTTTTTTTCTTGGCCGCCCCTCGTCAGGCTCCTGCTTTTGGTTTGGGTCCTCACCCATCATGAATGTCACGAATTTTACTCTCTGTCTGCTAATGTCACTGGCTCTGCCATTCTGGATTTCTTTCTGTCCATTGCTTCCATCCTGGACGGTGCTGGCCTGTTCTGTAGATTATTTCCCACTGTGGTCTGAAAATGCTGTTCTGCTCCATGGGTTTCCCCTCACCCAACTGAAGGGTGCTGTTGCCTTGCTGCGGGGACACTCCTGTGAGCCAGCTCTATCTCCCCATGGGTCACTGCTGGTGACAATCTGAGGGGGTTGACCACAGAGTTTGTGCTTGAAGGCAAGGTCAACACCATGACCAAGGCAGGCCGCTACCCATGTAGACCTAACACTTGCAGCCTGGGGTATGTCCTCTCTCTGGCTGTCTCCATCCTGTGGTGACCCTGCTCTCATTCACAGTGCCCATGCCTATGGCCCAGCCACAGGACATAGACCACCCACAGGGAGCCAAGCCCTGCTCTCCTGCACCTCACCCACCATGTCCACTCAGCTAGAGCCCCCTGAGAAAGTCCCAGAAAGCCACCAGCACTGGCAGTCAGTCCTATACTGGGGTCTGGAGCCAAGACTATACCCAGCTGATGTGGGCTGAATCAGCCTCCCCCCCCCCCCCCGGCAGGCTGTGCAGTGTGTGCGTGCGTGCGTGCATGTGTGTGTGTGTGTGTGTGTGTGTGTGTGTGTGTGTGTGTGTAAGTACAATGGCTTCCCATCTTCACAGTTTCTAGGATGACAGAACTTGCAAGGTCATGGGCTTCAGAGAATCCATTCCTCATGTGTGAGGACAGGATATCTTCCAGCCCCAAGTGTACATCCCTCTGTGACTTCTCAGGGTCTATCTCTGAATCACCACTACCTGACCCACTACTGCTCAGGCCTGGTCTATGCAGCCAGCATTTCCCCAGAAGGAAATCTGCCATAGATCCGGGGCAGATACAAGAAGTCTCAGGGTGTCACTCCACCCCCCCCCACCCTGGGTACCTAGGGAGGCAGCACCAACTTGGTCCCAAGCAGACCTGTGGGGGAGACTCAAGTCCTGATTAGGTCCCTCAGTGGAGCTCAGGGGATTCTTTGTGTGGAAGGTCAGGTGGTGCTAGGCACATGGACACCTGCTGCCAAGACACCTGCCTATCCCAGAACTAGAGCTACAACCTGGGGCACTGATTCTTACTCTCAGCCTCTGCAAGCTGAGTTCCCTGACGGTCACTGATGTGGTCAGGACCATCCTGGCATGCCAACACATCCTCAACAGAAACAAGACTCCAGGTAACTGACTTCTCAGTGTGTTCCTTCACGGTGTGCTCCACCACGGTGTGCTCCACCACGGTGTGCCTACTCTCCAATCACACCCATACACTTAAGGTCTCTGCTTTTAGAACCAAGTGAAGTCTAGAGGCAGGGACATGTCTGCTCAGAAGGCCCATAGCCCAGACCTGATTCCAGTTGTTAGCACACACTCGCACCACTGAACAGGGGACAGCTGCTGCTGACCTGCCCTGTGAGAGCATTTCCTGTATCTACAGTGAGTGCCAAGGAACCAGAGCTCACAGAAGAATGTCCATACAGTTGGACTGAGGCAGCACTTGACAAACACTCAGGGGGAGGCACCCAATTGCTCTGGGAAGCACGGGGCATAGAAGTACCCGTTCATGTTTGATTGACACCGTACAGAGGAAGCACAGTTACAAAGCAAAGGGGGCAGAGGGAACTGTCCCCTGAACTAGCACAGATAGGCTCCAAAGCACAGCAGATCTCCGGGTGCAAAGGAGGACTCATAAGATGGCAATGAGTACCATGGGAGTCTACATAGGTTCAGTCAGCGTTTTTATTGCTCAGAAGGTTCAAGTGTATTCAGAGAAGGGACAGACCCAATGAGGTGAGAATGTTTGACCTGGAAAGGGCAGAGGCAGAGAGAGGGGGCAGTGCCATGGTCTGCCAGGGTGCACAGAGCACAGGGTATGAACATTCTTCTGTGAGCTCTGGTTCCTTGGCACTCACTGTAGATGCAGGAAATGCTCTCACAGGGACAGGTCAGCAGCAGCTGCACTTCTGGCCTGAGGAGAGGCCACAGCAGGCCTGGCGGGAGCAGGCAGGGCGGCAGAGCAGGGACACGCTGGAGCAGGGCTTGCAGCAGCTGGGCTGGCAGGAGGAGGCACAGCAGGAGGAGGTGGGCACACAGCAGGCGGGTCTGCACACAGGGCGGCAGAGCAGGGACACGCTGGAGCAGGGCTTGCAGCAGACAGGCTTGCAGCACACAGGCACACAGCAGGATGGCTGGCAGCATGAGGGCTGGCAGCTAGACTGCTGGCAGCATGAGGACCCAGAGCAGATGGGTGTGCAGCAGACAGGCTTGCAGCAAAGAGTCACAGAACAGGGTGAGGAGGTGCAGCATGAGGGCTGGCAGCTAGACTGCTGGCAGCATGAGGAGGACCCAGAGCAGATGGGTGTGCAGCAGACAGGCTTGCAGCACACAGGCACACAGCAGGAAGATTGACAGCATGAGGGCTGGCAGCTAGACTGCTGGCAGCATGAGGAGGACCCAGAGCAGGTGCAACATACAGGCTTGCAGCACAGGGTCACACAGCAGGACTGCTGGCAGGGGGAGCAGGTGCAGCAAGCTGGTTGGCAGCCTGACTGGCAGCATGAGGGTGTGCAGGAAGACTGACAGCAGGGGCTGGACACACAGCTCACTGGGGTGCAGATGAAGCTCAGGCAGGGGGCTGGGGCACAGCAGCTGGGCTGGCAGCAGCTGGGGACACAGCAGCTAGGTTGGCAGCAGCTGGGGACACAGCAGCTGGGCTCACAGCAGCTCTCTGGGCAGTCGTCCACCTGCCAGGAGGAGTTGGTGCAAGCGTCAGAGCAGACAGACATGGTGGAGGCGGCCATGGCGGGGTTGGATTGGAGGGGTGTGCTTGCAAGTGTGTGTGTGTGAGTGTGTGTGTATGTGAGGTGCTGAGCCCTCAGCTTTTATTCCCCTTCGTGGTTCTCACCTTCCTTGTCTGGTGACCCAGCAGTCTCATTAACACTGTTCCTTGTTTAGCTGTGAGCTGTCACTCACCGTGTAAACATCCTTAGTATATGTAAATCTGCTGGTCTTTTCCATCTCTAGGTGGCCCCACACTGAGATGGACAGGATGTATATTTGCAACAGGTACCTCAGAGGTTGGGTGGGAAAATCTCCACATCTTCACTCCCTAGAACAACACCGGAGATAGCCTTGGGCTGCCCAGAAAACTCAACTGCCTTAGGGAGTCAAGCAAGAGAGTCCTGGCCGCTGGGGTTCTGTGGATCATGTTTCTACAGTCAATTCTCAGTGTAGAAATTCTCTGAGGGTCAGCATGTAGTGTGTGCAAAGCCAAAAGTGATGTCTAAGTTACAGATTGTGGCGACCCTGGTGGCGGGGGTTGGGGGGTGAGGGGGTGGGGGAGGGGGATGCTGCGGCTGCATGTCCCTACCCCCGTGTTCATGTGCTCCTACCCTTGCAGTGTGGGCCATGACCCATAGCAAGGGCCAGCATCTGGCAGCTGCACTGAGGATGCTGACATGTTAGGAGAGCCTCCCATGCTTAGAAGAAGCCACACCTCATAAGCTGTCCGTACAGAGGGCTGCCTAAAGATGAGGCTCCAGAGCCAAAGAGAAACTGAGGCACTCCGTCTTAAATGTCTCAGTGGCCACATGAGTGAGAAGGGGATCTGCCCAATGAATCCATTAGGGGTGCTTTGGTACAGCTCTGCCCAGCCAGGTTTGCTGGACCAGATTCCCAACACACGCACTGTGCAGCAAATATGTGTTATTTTGAACCACACAACAACAGAGGATACACATATGGACCAAACTGCATCAGCTGTAAATGAGCCAAATCTTCACAAAGTCACAGAAAAGAAACTTCTTGATTTAAGATTAAAAAATGTGGTGGGCTAGGTATGATAGAGTTTGCGTTGTTAAACTCTATAAATATGGAGACATATTTATGCATACGTATTATATGTATGCATAGAGGATGGATAGACACATAGATAATAAATGATGAATGGGCAGGCATAAGGATAAGTACATGGATGAGTGGATGGTTGGGTGAGTGGATAGATGATGAGAAAGTAGATGGATGGGCTAGTACGTGGGTGAGTGGATGGATGGATGGATGGATGGATGGATGGATGGATGGATGAGGGGGTAGGTGGATGCATGAGTAGGTAAGATGGGTAAATACATGGGAGTATGGATGAGTGGTTTGGTGGGTGGATTGGCTGGGTGAGTAAGTGCATATATAAGTGGGTTAGTGGATATATGTACAGGTGGGTGGATGGGTAGATGGTGAATAGATGGGTGCATGAGCCAGTAGATGAGTAAGTAAGTGAGTGGATGGATAGGATAGTGGGTGGGTAAGTGGATAGATGGATGGGTGGTGGGTGAGTGAATGGAATGACGTATGAATGGCAGTTAGATGAATAGATGGGGGTGGGTGAGTGGATGGATAAGGAAATAAGTATATAGCTGAGTAGGTATTGGATGGATGGATAAATAGGTGGGTGAATGGATAGATAGATAGACAAATAGATAGATAGATAGATAGATAGATAGATAGATAGATAGATAGACGGATAGATGGATGGGTGTGTGGCTGGGTGGGTGGATGACTGGATGAGTGTGTTAGTGGATGAGTGAGTGTGTTAGTGGATGAGTGAGTGTGTTAGTGGATGGATGAGTGTGTTAGTGGATGGATGGGTGTGTTAGTGGATGGGTGTGTTAGTGGATGAGTGAGTGTGTTAGTGGATGGATGGGTGTGTTAGTGGATGAGTGTGTTAGTGGATGGATGGGTGTGTTAGTGGATGAGTGTGTTAGTGGATGGATGGGTGTGTTAGTGGATGAATGGGTGTGTTAGTGGATGAGTGTGTTAGTGGATGGATGGGTGTGTTAGTGGATGAATGGGTGTGTTAGTGGATGAGTGTGTTAGTGGATGGATGGGTGTGTTAGTGGATGAGTGAGTGTGTTAGTGGATGGATGGGTGTGTTAGTGGATGAGTGTGTTAGTGGATGAGTGTGTTAGTGGATGAGTATGTTAGTGGATGAGTGAGTGTGTTAGTGGATAGATGAGTGTGTTAGTGGATGAGTGTGTTAGTGGATGGATGAGTGTGTTAGTGGATAGATGAGTGTGTTAGTGGATGAGTGTGTTAGTGGATGGATGAGTGTGTTAGTGAATGAGTGAGTGTGTTAGTGGATGGATGGGTGTGTTAGTGAATGAGTGAGTGTGTTAGTGGATGGATGGGTGTGTTAGTGGATGAGTGAGTGTGTTAGTGGATGGATGAGTGTGTTAGTGGATGGATGAGTGTGTTAGTGGATGAGTGTGTTAGTGGATGGATGAGTGTGTTAGTGGATGAGTGTGTTAGTGGATGAGTGTGTTAGTGGATGGATGAGTGTGTTAGTGGATGGATGGGTATGTTAGTGAATGAGTGAGTGTGTTAGTGGATGGATGGGTGTGTTAGTGGATGAGTGAGTGTGTTAGTGGATGAGTGTGTTAGTGGATGAGTGAGTGTGTTAGTGGATGAGTGAGTGTGTTAGTGGATGGATGGGTGTGTTAGTGGATGGATGGGTGTATTAGTGGATGGATGAGTGTGTTAGTGGATGAGTGTGTTAGTGGATGGATGAGTGTGTTAGTGGATGGATGAGTGTGTTAGTGGATGGATGGGTGTGTTAGTGGATGAGTGTGTTAGTGGATGGATGAGTGTGTTAGTGGATGGATGGGTGTGTTAGTGGATGAGTGTGTTAGTGGATGAGTGAATGTGTTAGTGGATGGATGGGTGTGTTAGTGGATGAGTGAGTGTGTTAGTGGATGGATGGGTGTGTTAGTAGATGGATGGGTGTATTAGTGGATGGATGAGTGGGTAATAATAGATAGGTGGGTGGATTGGTAGATGGATAGATGAGTGGATAGATGGATAGATGGACAGGTGGATGGATGAGTGAGTGGATGAATGGATGGATAGATGGACAGATGACAGGTGGATGAATAGATGAGTAGGTAGGTGTGTGAATAAGAGGCGGGTGAATGGATAGCAGAGTCAATGCTCACCATTTATGGATTCTGTTTAATTTTTACTTTCTGACACTTACATGCATCCCCAAATCTACTTGTGAACTTTCTGTGGCTATCCATGGACATCCACAGAGAAGGGAGTCTTAAGGTACATGCTTCCAGCTGGGTAGGATGAGATAATAATAAGGCTGTGCCTTCTGATTCTGACTCACCCTGAAAACAAGTTTCCTTGGGTCTCCTTGGTGCCGAGTTTTCTGGGGTTGTGCTGTCCTCTTGCTGGGGAATGCCCCTGAATGGTGCTGAACCACCATGTGCTGTGACATTAGTACTACAGGGCACTCCACAGAGTCTTGCTGTTGGTGTGAGGCCAGTGGTAATGAGTCTGCCATATGGATAGCTCTAGTAGACTTTGGACAGACACACATCAGACAAGCTCCCGTGTGACACACGATAACCAGGTATCAGACAAGCTCCCATGTATGTAGTGCATGTGATGACCGGAAATCAGACAAACTCCCATGTGACACACATGATAACCAGGTATCAGACAAGCTCCCATGTCTGTGTACATGTGATGACCGGAAATCAGACAAACCCCCGTGTAGCACATGTGATGACCAGAGATCAGACAAGCCCCCGTGTGACACATGTGATAACCAGCGATCAGATAAGCTCCCATGTCTGTGTACATGTGATGACCGGAAATCAGACAAATTCCCATGTAGCACATGTGATGACCAGAGATCAGACAAGCTTCCATGTATGTAGCATATGTGATGACCAGAGGCTCATGGGAAACTGACCCTGTGTGAGCGCCAGCAGCAATCGACCAGCATCTTCTAAATCAGTGTTAGTGACTCACAGAACACAACCACTAGCACGAGGAGAGTGGGCTCTGAATCCATGCGTGTGTGCATGTGTGTGCATACATGTAGCGAGACACAGAGGGGGAAATGGAGGACATGGGAGCAGCTGCTTCCAAGGACACTGGCTAGCACTGGCTTCATATGACACACAGCCTAACCTCCAGATGCATCTTCTGGACAGTCTGACAACAACATCCCAGACAAACAAACACCCTAATGATGGCCATGAGCGGCACCAACAAGGAAGGGAGATCAACAACACAGGGGGATAAAAGCTGATGGCTCAGGACCTCACACTCACTCACGCTCAACACTCACTCACTCACTCAACACTCACTCTACTCCAGCCCAGCTCTGCCATGGCCGCCTCCACCATGTCTGTCTGCTCTGACGCTTGCACCAACTGCTCCTGGCAGGTGGACGACTGCCCAGAGAGCTGCTGTGAGCCCAGCTGCTGCCAACCCAGCTGCTGCCAGCCCAGCTGCTGTGCCCCAGCCTCCTGTGTTACTCTTGTTTGTACCCCAGTGAGCTGTGTGTCCAGCCCCTGCTGCCAATCTTCCTGTACACCATGCTGCCAGCAGTCTAGCTGCCAGCCTTCATGCTGCACCTGCTCCCCCTGCCAGCAGTCCTGCTGTGTGCCAGTTTGCTGCAAGCCTGTCTGCTGTGGGGCTTCCTCCTCATGCTGCCAACCACCCTGTTGTGTGACCCTTTGCTGCAAGCCTGTCTGCTGCACACCCATCTGCTCTGGATCCTCGTGCTGCCAGCAGTCTAGCTGCCAGCCCTCATGCTGCACCTCCTCACCCTGTTCTGTGACTCTTTGCTGCAAGCCTGTCTGCTGCACACCCATCTGCTCCGGGTCCTCCTCATGCTGCCAGCAGTCTAGCTGCCAGCCCTCATGCTGCCAGCCATCCTGCTGTGTGCCTGTGTGCTGCAAGCCTGTCTGCTGCAAGCCCTGCTCCAGCGTGTCCCTGCTCTGCCGCCCTGTGTGCAGACCCGCCTGCTGTGTGCCCACCTCCTCCTGCTGTGCCTCCTCCTGCCAGCCCAGCTGCTGCAAGCCCTGCTCCAGCGTGTCCCTGCTCTGCCGCCCTGCCTGCTCCCGCCAGGCCTGCTGTGGCCTCTCCTCAGCCCAGAAGTCCAGCTGCTGAGTGGACTCTGTTATCACCCCAGAGCTTGGGAACTCCCTCTCACCTGACCCCTGGCTTCTCTGCTAGTGGCCAGCAACTGTCTCCATTGCCTCTCCATGGTCTTGCAGGACCTCGGCTGTCACTTGCTAACCCCTCCCTCACTTTGGGAGAAGTCCCAGCTCTTACCCAAGACTCTCCCAGTCAGGGAGCCTACTGGCCCTGCCGCAGTGAGCACAGCCTCTACAGTATAGGCCTCTGTGTAGCAAAGCAGAAGCTGCTTCAGAGACGGCCTCCCAGCCACTTCCCTGGGTCTGTGACAGGGCTCTGCTGTGTGTAGGCCAACCCTGGCTCTTTTCCTCCCACCCCAGCCCCTTTCAGCTGCAGCTGCCAATAAACCGCTTGATAAACCTAACCAAGATTGTCTCTCACGTGAATGCTCGTGTTCCCATGCCTGGCTCCTCACACTGGCACTGAGTCCGTCCCCTTCCATGGTGTCAGAAGCCCGTATGCCCTGTCCAGAGGTGTGTCCAAGGGATAAGCTTGTGTTCAGGGGCAGAATAGTGTGGGTCTGGCAGCGGCACCTATCCTGGGCGTGGCTTTGGCCACCCTGACTCCCCCAAACTTCCCTGCCCTGGTTGGTGAGATCCTGGGAGCTGTTCTTTGTAGAGAACTTGGGTCTGAGAGGCTCCTACCACACTGCCTCACTGGCCTGCAGTCTTCATAAAGCAGCATGGTTGGATACCTGCTCTCCTGAGGGATTGTGGGACTTTGGGGCATGGCAGGGGTATTGGATGGCTGATATCCTGGTCACAAGTCTCAAGCACACTGATGGGAAGTCCTTCTGTATGCTGCAAATGTGTTGCTTTTATTGGTTGATAAATAAAGCTGATTTGGCCAATGACCAGGCAGAATAGAGCCAGGAGGGAACCCAAACAAAGACACAGAGAGAAAGAAGGCTGAGTCAGGGAGATGCTATGTATTCACAGGAGAAGCAGGATATGAGGTGACAAGCCATGAACCTCATGGTAACATACAAACTAATAGAAATGGGTTAGTTTAATTGTGAGAGCTAGTCATTGATCAGACAGTTATAATTAATATTAAGCTTCAGAGTGATTGTTTTGTGAGTGACTGCTGAGGCTGGTGGGTGGGAGAGAAACAGGTCCAGCGGGACTGGTCAAGACAGAGAAAAGTATCCAGCTATAGCACACACATCTTGCAATCCTTGCTAGGGATACTGAGTACATCCCTTGGACAGCATCACCTCCTGCTTCCCAGGACTTGGCCCCAAGCTCCTTTTCTTGGCTGGGGTACCACTTCTGGCCTAGACCTGTGGCCTGGTCCAGGTTGTTGCAGTTAGAGCCACACATTGGTTATCTGGAAAGTGAATTTCTGGCAACAATCCGCCTCCTCCAGGCCACAGCGACTTTCTGTTCTTTGCTGTAGTGCCTTGCAGACTTGGGAATGGAGGTGAAGGATGTGCCCTAGAAAGGGATTCTGGGAACAGAGAGGGGGCCTCACAGCAGACTCAAGCCTCCGAGACACTCTGTTCTGGGCCCTGCAGTTGACAGTCACCCTCACTAATAGTATGTGACTGACAAAGGACCCAAATTCTGAATTTACAATGAGACAAAAATAAATGAACAAAAGAGGTGGCAATAAGCATTTATAGAGATGCCCTGTGACCAAAAGTCACACAGTTGGTCATTCCTGCCCATGACAAGGAGACATAGATGATCAAAGAAGAGACAGCTATCACCTTCAGGATGGCAAGCAACCAGATGTCATTACATCCAGTGTCTAGTCACTACGTGGCCAGAGCATAGATAGATAGATAGATAGATAGATAGATAGATAGATAGATAGAATGACTCCGCTTGAAACTCAGGGAGGCAAGTGGTCCTTACAGTTCTAAACATCGGTAGCGAGCCCATGAAAACACTCAGGAACGAACAAAAGAGCAATGTCCCACACATGTCCTCTCCAGAATGTGGGGACAATGGCTCCCAGGGAGTTGAGCAGGTCAGCGAGGGCTGATATGAGTCAGCCGGGCTGCTGGGTCTGTGCATGCTTGGTACATTGCGTTCTGTATTGTCTGCTGATAATTATTTGTAATAAAATACTAAGAAAAAGACGTTATAAAGACCACTCTCCTGAACCACGGTTAATAAAGCAAACTTATAACTGTAAAAGGACGTCACCTTTGGGAAATCGAAAGGCACTCCCTGTCACAGACTCAGAAGTGGACCCGCAGCGAGTCTGGACGTGCATCATGGACCAAATAGCGATTGAGGATACATCACTTCTCAGAACACAGTTAATGCAGGAGAGGCAGGACTCAGAAGAAAATCAAATCCTTAGGCAATACAAACAGGATTAAAAGCAAGAGTTCAACCCACGAAACCACAAGAGCTTCCAAAATGAATTTTTAAAAGGGAAATTTTGAATTTCAGAAGAAAACTGAGGAGATCCAGAAATTGGTGCAGTATTGTCTTTACAGGCATGAGAACACTGGAGCCCACATTTGTAAAATAGCAGAGCATGGCTGCAGGCCCTGTAATCCCAGGGCTGGGGAGGTTAGAGGCAGAGGGTCTCATGGTCAGCTAGTCTGTCGAAACCAGTGATACAGAGAAAAATCCTATCTCAAAAAATAAGGTGGAAAGTGATGAAGGAAAGCACCCTGTGTCAATCTCTGGCCTCTACACAAAATAAACAAACAAATGATAATTAAGGAAGAAATTATAGATATAAATAAAACTGATCAGTTGTTTATGAAAGACAATACAAATTAAAACACTGGAAGATTCCAAAGAGAAAAATGATACAGATTGTGATAAAATAAATAATAAAAATATTGAATGTAAATATTTTAATGATGTTACACCAGGGTAAGATGATGAGTTAAGCACTGTCTCTGCATGCCTGCTCTGGACTCTGTCGGATGACACTGGCTGTTCTCTCTCTTATTCGGAATAACTACCCCCACTAACAATAGAGCAGCCATTCTGAGGGGTTTACTTACTATGCCCCCTTGTGTACATAAATATTGCCTGATCTCATAGCCACAGCAATGAGACAAGAGAAAGAAATAAATGGGATACAAATAGGAGAGAAAAAAATCAAGGCATCCTTATTTTCAGATGGTATTCCTGTGTGAAAACCCCTGATGACTCTACCAGAAATGCTTAAATCTGATAAACACTTCTAGCAGAATATAAAGCAGTTTTGTCACTGCATAAAACTCAGTGCCTTTTCTAGATTCCAATGGAACAGACAGAGAAATCAGCAAGACTCAGAACCCCATTTACAGCTGTCCCAGAAAACAAGACACTTGTAAATAAACCAAGGAGTTAAAAGGAAGAAAGGAGGAAGAGCCCTAGTAGGAGGAAGGACTTCCCATGGTCATAGAGCAAAGAGTCAGTAACATGACAATGGCCATGTTACAAAAGCAATCTATAGAGTCAAATCACTGCTCGTCAAAATACTGATCATCACGATTACAACAGCCTTCTCCAGAGGAATGGAAAACAAGTCCTAAAATTCACGAGGAAGCACGAAAGAACTGAGAGAGAGAGACAGAGAGACAGAGAGAGAGAGAGAGAGAGAGAGAGAGAGTGAGTCAGGGTTCTCTGTAGTCCTGGCTGTCCTGAAACTAGCTCTTGTAGACCAGGCTGGCCTCAAACTCAGAGATCCACCTGCCTCTGCCTCCCAGGTGCTGGGATTAAAAGTGTGCACCACCACACCCCAGCTCAAGAGACCTTGAATTTTTTAAAGCAAATCTGAACACAAAGATCAATGCAGATCTCATTTTGGCTTATCTTAATTTGTACAACGGTTATAAGTACCAAAAGCAGCATTGTGCCAGCACATAAGTAGACATGGAGACCAGTGAAATAGAAGACCCAACTAAAGCCAGTGCTGAGGGTTACAGACACCAGTGCTGAGGGGCACCAAAGGCTGAGGGAGGCCAAGGGCTGAGGAGGCTCTAAGGCTAAGGTGGAGCCAAGGTCTGAGATGAAGTCAAGGGTTAAGAAAGACCCAAGGGCTGCGGAAGGGAGCAAGGGCTGAGATGGGTCCAGTCCTGAGAGATGAGGAAAGCCGAGTGTTGCGTTGGGTCTGAGGGCCGGTCAACTCAGGCTGGCCTATGAGTCCCGAGTACTAGAAGTGATGTTTACAAGAAATAACAAGATCGGTTACTGGAGGTGTTGGTGTCCTCAGAGCTTGGGGACACTTAGGGGACAGTCTGGGAAGTTGTAGTGACTGAAGCAGAAAAAAATAAAAACCGAGGAAGTGACCAGTTCCAAGAGGGAAAAGCACAACCGAAATGCACATGAATACAGAGATTAAGCCTGAACCCATCCAGAAGCACTCAGGAAAACAATACTGAGATAGATATGAAAACGTAGCACTAATGGATAAATGGTTGGCGCCCTGGTTTAAGCCCACACTGAGGCGGTGCTGCCTTCAGAATGGGAGGAGGCGACAGTGAGAGAGAATGCTTCCTCCACAGGAAGAAGTTGGGTCATATCTACAGACAAGTCTTCACACACACACACACACACACACACACACACACGCACACACGCACACACAGTGAGCCTGTAAATTTAATAAGTAATTGTATAGCAAAGAGTATGGGATGGAGAAGAGGAACCTGCTGGGTCTGTGGGATGGAGAGGAACCCCCAAGTCTGTGGGATGGAGAGGAACCCCCGAGTCTGTGGGATGGAGAAGAGGAACCCCCGAGTCTGTGGGATGGCGGGGAGGGACCCTGAGTCTGCGGGAAGGAGGAGAGGGACCCCGAGTCTGTGGGATGGAGAAGAACCCCGAGTCTGTGGGGTGGCAGGGAGGGACCCTGAGTCTGCGGGAAGGAGGGAGGGTGACCACCACCTGCAGCAATGGAGGGGTCCACAGCATGGGGAGGGCCTGAAGGGCCTGCTGGAGCTTGTGTTCCTGAAGACAATGTGGAGACAGCGGAGGGAATCACAGGCCCAGTTCCACCTGGCCGTGTGTCACATGTCTCAGGATAAGGACGTGCCTTGGCCCAGCTATGACCCACGCTCCCAGCTGAAAACAAGACGAACAAGGAAAGGAAAGGATGCCCCGCTCACGAGGAAATTGCGTGGGAGGCGCATAAAAACCCAGGGCCAGGCGCCTCACACAAGCTCACTCACGCACACCCACACACCACTCCTCCTGGCCCAGCCCCCACCATGGCCAACACCTGCTGCACGAGGACCTGTGTGATCGCTGCGTCCTCCACATCTGTCTGCTCTAGCAATCTGAGCTGCGGCAGCCGGGTCTGCTCTCCCAGCACCTGCACCGGTGCCTCCTGGGGGGGGGACAATTGCCAGGAGAGCTACTGTGAGCCCCCGTGCTGCGCTCCCAGCTGCTGTGCCCCAACCCCTTGCCTCCTCTGCACCCCAGTGAGCTGTATATCCAGACCCTGCTGTCAGTCTATCTGCGCCAGCTGCTGCACACCCTCATGCTGCCAGCAGTCTAGCTGCCAGCCCTCATGCTGCACCTCCTCACTCTGCTGTGTGCCCGTGTGCTGCAAACCTGTCTGCTGCAAGCCTGTCTGCTGCACACCCATCTGCTCTGGATCCTCGTGCTGCCAGCAGTCTAGCTGCCAGCCCTCATGCTGCACCTCCTCACCCTGTTCTATGACTCTTTGCTGCAAGCCTGTCTGCTGCACACCCATCTGCTCCGGGTCCTCATGCTGCCAGCAGTCTAGCTGCCAGCCCTCATGCTGCCAGCCATCCTGCTGTGTGCCTGTGTGCTGCAAGCCTGTCTGCTGCAAGCCCTGCTCCAGCGTGTCCCTGCTCTGCCGCCCTGTGTGCAGACCCGCCTGCTGTGTGCCCACCTCCTCCTGCTGTGCCTCCTCCTGCCAGCCCAGCTGCTGCAAGCCCTGCTCCAGCGTGTCCCTGCTCTGCCGCCCTGCCTGCTCCCGCCAGGCCTGCTGTGGCCTCTCCTCAGCCCAGAAGTCCAGCTGCTGATGGGTCTGTTCCTGGTGCCAGCTAACTCAGGTCCCTCCCTGTGGTCCCTCTCAGCCTCTCCAGTCTGCTCCTGACCTGAGGCAGATGGTTCCCCCAGAAGAGGGACATCATATGTCCCCATGCTGACCTGACCTCTCCTCCTACCTTCCAGGAGTTGCTAAGTCACTTCACTCTTCTCTGTCCCTGTGCTGTTCTGGGTTACTTGCCCTGATATCAGAAGCTCACAACACCAATAAATCCATGGCCACCCTACACCCTTATGTATCGTTATTTTCCTATACAACACCAATAAATCCATGGCCACCCTACACCCTTATGTATCGTTATTTTCCTATCTGGTATGAAGTATCTAACACAAGGAGGAAGGAATGGCCTCACTCAGGGTTTAGTCCATCACTTGGGGGAAGGGAGAACGAAGCAGCTCTCATCACAGTGTCCAGGAAGCAGAGAGAGATGATTGTACTTTATTCCCTCCTTTTCTCATCTGCTCTCCCTGCTTCAGCCTGAGGGATGGCATTGTTCACAGGCATTTCTCTCAGGGAAGCTGTTCTCAGAATGTCTTCTCAGACACACCCAGATGGTACCTCCGCCTTCTAATCAGTTAGACTTGGGGGAACAGCCATCACTTCCCTCATGCTATGAGGGCACATGACCGCCATGGGGTACAGGTACAGTCTTTCTTAACCACAGACATCCAGAACTGAGTGGTCCTCCCCAGTGGCCATGACGGCCTGTGGCCTCTCTTCTGAAGCTCAGGTCCTCATTCTAGACAGATTTAACCAAAAATCTCCGTGCTCAGGACCTCCCAGGACTGGTCACCTACAGATGTGGTCTGGTCTGCGGTCATCCTACGTTGTTCATCTGGGCAAACTGGTCTGCACCAGGCTTCCCGTGGATGCCAGAAACAGGGCAGAGCTGCAGCCTTCAGCAGCCATACGTCCTCTCTCTGGTTGCTGCTGTCTGAAACACCCTTGTCACCAAGGCTCCTGTTGTGACAAGCCTGTTTCCCTGGTCCTTGGAGCAAGTCTGCACCCTGGCAAGGGCAGAGCAGGATGTACAGACTCAGGGAGGGTACCCTGACTCCTGTCTGTTCCCAGTCCTGGGGTGTGGCCACCTTCCCCAGCAGCTCAATCAGAGTGACGACACAGTGTCAGGATCTACACACCTGTCATAATTGATCCTAGCTGTCACCTCAACTGTACTGAGAGGTGGCCGGGAGATGGTGAGATGCAGCTCTGACTATGCATGCCATGGCATGTCCAGAGAGATTTAATACCCCCTGGTACCTCACCTGGGGTCCCTGCACGGCCGTCTGCCCACCCTGTCTGTCATCTCTCTTCCGCACAGGGATGCCTCCCCTAATGCCACATTGTGCTTTTATGCCAGCCAGAGTGCTGGGACAGCCCTAGGACACCAGAGCTGGATAGAGCTGAGAAGGCCCAGCTCTGAGCAGGCTGGGGGCATGGGTGACTCCCCTGAATCAGGAGATGCAAGCGTCTGTCAGGCACAGTTCCAGACTCACTTCCCCAGTGGCCATATCCCAGTCCTGGCCTTACCTCCTCCTCTCAGGTCCATGCTGTAGGGCCTGGGGATGCCCTCAGCCTTCTTCCTGTGGATAGTATCTGGTAGACCCTGAGAAGGCTGTGGACTCTTATCCCAGTGCTCCTGCTCAACTGAACTCGTAAACTTGGAGCAGCAACTTGGCTGTGACCCAGAAACACTGGGATATGGCCTCTCAATGACCAAGTGATGTTCATGAGATGACAGAAGAGTGTGTAGCCACTTGGCAGGAGTGAAGGTAGCCTAAAGTGAGACACTTGTGCCCTGCAACTTTTGAGACAATGGACTCCAAGGAATTGGAATTTCCCTGGGAGTTTCATGCTGGAAGAAAGGAAAAAAAGAGGAACCTGGTCCCAGCCAAAGGGGGAGTTTGTCTCCCAGAATACTCTGCAGGAGCTGCTAGTGCCCAGGCAGTGATAATGGGCAGGACCACACCCTGACCAGGGCTGATGGCTGTGCATCCCACCCTCTACTTAAGCTTTACCCTGGTGTCAGCAATGAAGATGGACTTGGGGGTGGTGTTTTTGCTGGGCCTCTCTTCCCCAGGTGACTGCCCTTTAAAAAAAATCCCTCTTCTCTGCTGTTCACCAATACTTGTATAATGGGCATATCAGAGCCTGTGGCAAGCCTGGCTTCTCGGGGCTGTGGGGCTCTGAACCAGCTGGCAGAGAGAGCCTTGACTGAGAGCCCAGAGACATGGAAAGCTGCCAAACCTGGCCACATGGGCATCTGGAGATGCGTGGGGGACCTCAACATCATTCACTGGGCATCGGGGACAAGCTGGTAAAGGCACAAAATTGCCAAGCCCATTGTAAAAGCCAGAATGAAATATCTGATAAAGCCAACCACTTGAGTGCGAACTCACTAAGAAGATGTAGGAATTAGTAGCATGGCCTCAGGAGCAGGACTATGTGACACAGTCTTAGGGTCACGGCCTTGGGACACATGGGACTGCTGTCACCTCATACTCCCTTTTCCCCACAACCTGGTGACTCCTGGAAATCTACTCTATAGAAGGAGACAAGAGGCTGTGTCACCCATGGGAGCCACAAAGCGTGCGTCCCACAGACAGAACCCGCAACTGAGCATCTGACTTCTGAAATGGAGGCAGAGGGGTGAAGTCACATGTCTCATCTGGGGACACACACAAGTAATTTGTGAAGACATGAATAAGGTCACCTCTTTTTTTTTTTTTTTTTTTTTTTTTTTGGTTTTTTGAGACAGGGTTTCTCTGTATTGTTTTTTGGACCATGTCCTGGAACTTGCTCTGTAGACCAGGCTGGTTTTGAACTCACAGAGATCCGCCTGTCTCTGCCTCCCGAGTGCTGGGATTAAAGGTGTGCGCCACCACCGCCCGGCTTAAGGTCACCTCTTAGGGTATTTCCCAGAGAAAAGGTTGGGGACCTTTCCTAAGTGTTATTATGGAATAAATGACTCCTTGGAGCCCCCAGCTTAGTTGGAATTCATAAATTCCACAAAAAGTTTTATAGCCCCACACTGCTTCCCTGACACAGTTCCCCACCTCAGAAAAGCTGGGGACACCTGACCTCAACACAGACTTCCGGCAGTGATCCATCTGCCCAGCCTCTCTGAGTTTTGCACGTGGAATCACTTAGAACTCACCATTGTTGTTAGTATTCAGGCATCCATATTGGCCTGTCCTTGAGGGTCTGACAGGACACGCCCTCAGCTGTCCCACTGAGAGTACCACCTGTGAACATTCACTATGTTCCCTTTAAAAAGGCCCTGCCCACCTCCCATTTCCCTCTCTCTCTTTCTCTATCTCTGTCTCCCTCCCTCCCTTCCCTCTCCCTCCCTCTGCCCCTCCCCCCCTCCCCCATTCCCAGAAGCCTATCTCCCCTCTAGCCTTTTCACTTCCTCTAATTAAAAACCCCTCCACCCAAGCTCTGTCACATGGTGTCTTTCTCTCTTGAGGGCCACTTTTTTTAAAAATTACAACAACTGTGATCTTGGATTCCATCTCTCCAGGGAACTCAGCACTCCCTATCACACAAAAAAGTACAATGTCATAAAATGCCCATGCCCCTGAGGAGGGCTGTGTGCCAACTTCCCAAGAAGCCCCTATAGCATATTCTGAGTCTCCCATCCAAAAGCAGATTTTGACCAAGCGCAGACATCGTCCTGTCCCCAGTTTCACTTAAACCAGCAGAGTTCTCCAAATCCAGGCTGCAAAAGTCTTTATCACAGACACCTTTCATGACACAGGGTGACTGTCTCAGGCAAGGCCACGACGGACAGAGCCTCACCTAGAACATGCTCACACACACACACACACACACACACACATAGAGTGCCATATCCCAGGCCCAGTGGTGCAAATTACCCAGTCATCATAGAAAACAGTCCAGTATCGGCAGAGAGAGGCAGGCTGTGTGTCAGCCGATATGGCCCTGTGACAACAGGCTGAGATGTGTGCTCTGCACAGACCTGGGTCTCCTGACATCAGGAAATAAACACCAAAGAGGCTGCTGCTCAGACACATTGGTCTCTGATGAGTTTTTGGTGGTGGTGGTGGTGATGGTTTGTTTTGTTTTATTTTGCTTCTGTTATTGCTTTTTTGGGTTTTGTTTCGCTTTGCTTTGTTTTTTGCTAAGGTTTTGAGGCAGAGTCTTACTAGGTAGCCCAGACTGGCCTCAACACTGAGACCTGCCTGCCTCAGCCCCTCTGACTTCTGATGAGATCTTACAATGATTCTTTTCTGGCTCTTCTTCTCCATCTCCCTAGTAGCCATTGGCACGGGGTGGCGCCTCCAGCTGGCCCTGAAGGCAATGGCCACCAGGCCTCCACCAGTGGCTGACATCTTGCACACTGGCAGAGGTGGACCTTGGAGCTACCGCCTTGTCTTCCTGCTTTTCTCCAGCCCAGAAACCAGGCCACAGGTCCCCACAGCCTCTCCACTGGGACAGAAGCTGCCAGCAAGCCTTGCTCCTCAGAACACCCAGGCCCAAAGCTGTGGTTGGTCAGGAAGAGGAACTTCCCACAATGCACACAACAGGAAGAAATGTGCATCTCCCTCTGGAAAAACAGGCTGGAGGAGGATAAAAGGCCAACAGCCCAGCACCTCACACATTCACTCACACACTATCATACTCTGAACTCCCAGCCAACCCCGCCATGGCCGCCTCCACCATGTCTGTCTGCTCTGACGCTTGCACCAACTCCTCCTGGCAGGTGGACGACTGCCCAGAGAGCTGCTGTGAGCCCAGCTGCTGCCAGCCCAGCTGTTGTGTCCCCAGCTGCTGCCAGCCTAGCTGCTGTGCCCCATCCCCCTGCCTGACCCTCATCTGTACCCCAGTGAGCTGTGTGTCCAGCCCCTGCTGCCAATCTTCCTGCACACCATGCTGCCAGCAGTCTAGCTGCCAGCCCTCATGCTGCACCTCCTCACCCTGTTCTGTGACCCTGTGCTGCAAGCCTGTCTG